AAACAAATGAAAACACATCCATACTCACAGACAGAATGAATATTGTTAAAATTACTATATTACCAGAAGCAATCTACAGTTTCAATGATACTCCTATCAAAACACCAATGATATTCTTCACAGAGACAGAAAAAAAAAATCCTAAAATTCATATGAAACAACAAAAAATGCCAAATCGATAAAGCAATCCTGAGCACAAGGAATAAGGCTGGAGTCAATGTATTACCTAACTTCAAATATACTACAAAGCTGTAGTAACCAAAACAGCATGGTACTGGCATAAGAACAGATATGTAGATCAATAGAACAGAATAGAGAACCCAGAAATTAATCTGCTTATCAATAGCAAACTGATTTTTACAAAGGCCAAGAACACTCATTAGGGAAATGGCAATTTCTTCAAAAAATGGTGCTGAGAAAACTGGATATGCAGAAGAATTAAACTAGATTCCCATCTCTCATCCTACACAAAAATCAATTCATAATGGATCCAAGACCTCAATGTTATAAAACTACTAGAAGAAAATATAGGGGTAATACTTCAGGACACTAGTCTAGGAAAATATCCTATGAGTAAGAACTCCAAATCACAGACAACATAAAAAATAGACAAATCCGATGACATCAAACTCAAAAGCTTCTGCATAGCAAGGGAAACAATCAATAGCGTGAAAAGACAACCTACAGAATACATGACAATATCTGCAAACTATTCATCTGATAGGGATTCATATCCAGATTACACAAGGAATTCCAGTATCTCAAGAGCAAAAAACTGATTTGCTTAAAAAACAGGCAAATTATCTGAACAGACATTTCTGAAAAGACATACATATAGCCAACAATTACATGAAGAAATGCTTAACATTATTAATTATCAGGGAAATGCAAATAGAAACCACAGTGAGGTATCATCTCACCCCAGTTAGGATGCCTATTTTCAGAAAAACAAAAAATAATAAATGCTGGTGAGGATGCAAAAAAAAGGGAACTTTTATACACCATTGGTGGGAATGTAAACTCCTATAGCCAATATTGAAAACAGTACAAAGGTTCCCCCAAAAACACTACAATTAGAACTACCATATGGTCCAGCAATCACACTACTGAGAATTTATATAAAGGAAAGGAAATCATTAGATCAGAGAGACATCTGCACCCTGTATTTATTGTTGTACTATTCACAATAGCCATGATATGGATCAACCTAGTTGTCCAACAACAGATGAATGGATAAAGAATATGTGTATACACACACAATGGAATACTGTTCAGCCATTAAAAAAAGAAATGAAATCCTGTCATTCACAGCAACATGGATGGAACTGGAAGAAGTTATATTAAATGAAATAAGACAGGAAAAGTTAAATACCATGTGTTTTCATTCATCTATGGAAGCCAGGGAAAGTAAATACTATAGAAGTCAAAAGTAGAAGAGAAGATAGGGTAGGAAGGGTAGGAGGAAAGGAGGGATAGGGGAGAGATTCAATCACGAATACAAAATTACAGCAAGATAGGAGGAGTAAGTTACAGTGTTGTACTATCATTGTTCTGTAACTATAGGATGACTATAATTAACAATAATATTGTCCAATAGCTAGAAGGATACTGGATGTTCCCCACACAAATAAATCATTAATGTTTGAGATGACTGATATGCTAATTACTCTGATTTGATCACTATACATTCTATGTATCAAAACATCACTATATATCCCATCAAAGTGTATGATCAATTTAAAAATAAACTATAAAAATGTTAATTACTATTTAAAATGACTATTTTATGAAATAAATGTTTTGAGCTATTTAAGCCAGACTTAGACAAGAAGGAAAGATTCTTAGAAAACTGAAATGCAATATCAGATTAGAAGAAGCAAAAGACAGCACTGGCAGTAAAGAAAATCACATTGGCCATATGATAGAATGCTGAGAGGGGGGAAAAAAACATGAAAAAGATGGTAGACACAGAAAAATGAAAACAAAGATTTAAGAACTGAATATTCTAATATTGGATATTCATTTTTTTCTAATCCTAAGAAAAAATGAAAGAGAATATTCAAAAATAAAAGAATATTATTCTTTAGTGAACAATACCCTCTAAATTTATACTAAAACAGTATGCAGAATATTAGTGAATTTTATGATCAACTGTTAGACATAGTCAATGAATAACTAATGCAATAAGAGAAGAAAAGGAATAAAAGGTATGGAGATAGGGAAGGAATAATTAAAACTGTCTTTGCTGACAGATAACATAACTGTCTGAGTAAAAAATCTCAAAGAATTGACAAAAAAACTAATGGAATTGAGAAGCGATTATAGCAAGGTTGCAGAAAACAAGGTAATATACAAAAGCCAACTGTTTAGCTATCTACCAGCAATGAAGACTTAGAAAAGGAAATGAAAAACACAGCAGTCTTCACACTAGCACCAAAAAAAATGAAAAATTAGGTATAAATCTAACAAAACATGTGTAATATCTTTATTAAGAAAACTACAAAAACTGACAAAATTCCTAAATACATAGATACTCCATGAATGGGAAGACTTTCCTAATGTGATGTATAAAGTCAACACAAAATCCCAGCAATTCAATACAAAGATTCCCAGAATTTTGTGGGTATGTACAAAGTGATTCTAAAGTTAATATGAAAAGGCAAAGTATGCAGACAGCCAACATAATACTGCAGAAGAACAAGGTCAGACAACTGACAGTACTTACCTTAAAGACTCACTAAAAGTCTACAGTAATCAAAACAATGTGATATTGGCAAAAGAACAGACAAAGCAAGGGAACAGAAAGAGAACCTAAAAATACACCCACATAAACATAGTCAGCTGATCTTTGACAAAGAAGCAAAGGCAATTCAATGGATAAAAGACAGTCTTTCTCCAATTCGGCATTCATTTCCAAAAAAAAAAAAATAATAATAATCTAAACACAGACCTTACACCTTTCACAAAAATTAACTCAAAATGAATCACAGACCTAGATATAAAATGCACAACTATAAAGCTTGTAGAAGATACATAGGAAAAAATCTAGATGACCTTCGGTTTGGTGATGAAGCTTCAGACATAACACCAAAATCGTAACTCATGATAGAAAAAACTGACAAATTAGATTACTAAGATCAAAGACTTCAGTTGGGCACAGTGGCTCCTGTCTGTAATCCCAGCACTTTGGAAAGCTGAGGCAGGATTGCTTGAGCTCAGGAGTTCAGGACCAGCCTGGGAAACATAGGGAGAGCTTGTCTTTAAACAAAATTAAAAAACACATCAGGTGTGATGGTGCATACTTGTAGCCCCAGGTACTCAGGAGGCTGAGGTGGAAGGACTGCTTGAGCCCAAGCAGTCCTCTTGAGCCCAAGAGGCCGAGGCTACAGTGAGCTGTGATCATGCCACTGCACTATCTTCTAAGTAAGTAAGTAAAACAAATAAATAAAAACTACTCTACCAAACATACTGTTAAAAGTATGTTTGACATAGCAAATAGTATGTTTTGTATGTATACATAGCAAAATAGTATGTTTGACAAGCAATAGTATGCTTGACTTTGACATAGCAATAGTATGAAAGACATAGCAAGATCCTGTCTCAAAAATAAAAACAAAAATAAAATCTTCTGCTCTGCCAAAGACAATGTTAATATTAATAGTATGAAAAGAAAAGCCACAAACTGTAAGAAAATACTTGCAAAACAAAACTGAAAATCAGAAATATAAAGGACTCTTAAAACCTATCAATAAGAAAACAACCCAAATTAAAAATGGACATAAGACACCTCACCAAATATATACAGATGAAAAAGAAGTGTATGAAAAGATGCTCAACAGCATGTCATTAGAGAATTACAAGTACAATGAGACACCAATCTACACCTATTAGAATGGTTAAAAAGTTTCTTAAATTTAAAAATTTGAAATTTAAAAACATTTCACATAGTTCTCTTGTGAAAACCACCCAAAATAATAGTGAATTCAAATGCAAAGAAAAACCATAATAAAAAACTCAAGAATAAAGAAATAGTGATTTATAGAAGCTGAGTATGAGGACTAAAACAAATTAAACATAGATTTGAAACCTAAAACTTACTGTAAATATGATTATAAATGTGAAAATTTGTGAACTATTAAAAGAAATTACCTAGATCTAAATTCTCAATTTACATACTTTAAACAATACTTGAGATGAGTGATAACAGTAAAATCCTAACATATTCATCATAATAAATTTCAATATATATTGCTTAAAATGTTAAAAAAATTTTACTTATCCATTTTTTAAAGTACATTAGTAAAAAATTTAAATTTATTGTATATAATACATGAGAACAGATTTTACACAGACTACTTAGCATTGAAATTAATTACTTTCAAAAGTTAACACCCATAATTTGTCTCCTATATTGCATAAAGGATATGAAAGAAAAGAGCAAGGGGAAATAAGAAAGAATATCTTTTTGAGGTAACTAAGTAAATACAATAAAGAGGAAAAGGAGACAAGAATGATATAAGATGTGAACATGCATCTTATGTAAAACTACGTAAATTAGGGTTAAACAATAAATAGTAATAATGTAGGAAAAATAAAAAGAATGCATGATATGATAGTTCTCTAACCTATAACAAAGGGAAAAACCCTACCTTGCAGCATTGATGTAAAGAATAAATGAGAGAACATAATAAAAATACACATAGTACATGCTCAATAAATGCTATTTTCTTTTTCCACTGGAAATCTCTACTTCTTCAAGGACAAAAGACCATGTTGGAACAAACATCAATTGACAATTTGTCACTAGGAGGACAAATAAGGGGAAAAAAGGTCTGCTACACTCAAATATACCACCCTAACTTTATAAAGTTTTACATGTCTTCTATGATTAAAAAAAAAAAGTAAAATGTTACAAAATAATGAAATGAAAAATATTTTCAGTATTATGTAAAATAAGAATCATCATACGCCAACAAACACCAGAAATGAACAGCTTTTACCATAGTTTTTCCTGATCCTCGGGGTCCGATAATGAGGACAGAGTTACTCTCTCCATGGAGAGCGGTCCTTTTTAGCAGCTCACTTAAGTGTCTAAAATGATATAAATAGGACAAAATTTTAAAAATGAAGCTGGAATACTTTGTTAGGTTGTAGTTTTTTAAAAGGCATATTTGAATATGCATAGAAATTTCCTCTCTTCTCTCCCTCTGGGCACTTGGCCTAGCCTCTGAATGGTCCTAAACAGAAAAATACAAAAGAAATAGGAGGGTAGTATAGACTCTGAAATCTTCAGGTGAAAATGTATCAGATTGGAATATATTGATTTGTATGATCGTGGGGACAACAGTGGCAACTCTCAGGACTCTTGGATTCAAATCTCTTTTCCTACTAATACTCTGAACTTTCACTCCATAGTTGGCTGCTGGGTATTAAGGGCAAGATGGTTAGAATTCTCTCCACAGTATTAGATAACATAAACAAAACAAGATTGAATGTTAAAGTGCTATTGCATTATGGAAATATTTGTATCTGCTCCTGCTTCATGCTATGTGGTGTTTCTATTCACAAAGCAAAATTTTTTACTTCTATAAAAGTGTTTGTTAGGTTTATTTAATATCAAACTTGTTACATAATTTTTGCAAGACTTGGAAGGCATCTGTAAGTTGGTCCGTAACAGTCAAAAGGACAGCTAGACTTACTTGTATTGTACTTGCACTCCAAATAGGTTACTATGTGGACTCTGATGACAAAATCTTTCACGTAAAATTCTTTGTACCTGATGAAAATAAAGTGAATAAATATAAAAATATTACACATGCAATAAAAAATGAGTAAGAAAGCACATTTACAATAGCCAGAATTAGTTATTAATGAATCAATTCAACCTTCCCTAAATTCTTATCCTCTAGAGTTATGGCACCATAAGTTAAAAAATTAATGGTGTTCTTATCTATCTCAAGTCCCACAGGAAGAATGAGAATTTAGTTGTGAAGGTTTCAAAAAAGGGAGAATCACTGACTTTAGTTACGTTAGCAACTCAAGGGCTGTTTCAATGCATGTGAACGAGTTCAGAAAAAAATTCTTATAAGGAGCTGTATTTTGAGTTCACCTTAGAAAAAGGGCCTTAGACTTAGTCATGAAAAATTATGTCAGATAATCTACCATACTCTTTAAAAAGATGGACCATTAAAGTCATTCCTTTTTGGATCTGCAACTAATACAGAGGTCTTTCAAGGACAACCTTAGGGTGCTATCTCAGATTTGGCCCCATGAACTGGAATAAAAAACCTCCAAAAACATTTGCTTCTCCTAGACTGACGGCATGGAACTAATCCTTCATGTATCAAAGAAATAAATCTGAGTTCTTGTTCTATGTACAGAGGCTAAGCAAAGAAAATGATTCACTAGGGACAAAATGATACATACTTGTTCATTATAGAGGAAGTTAAAGAGTAAGGACACTGGCACCAGAAGAGGCTACTATATGAATTTTAAAAGGTTAAGTCTGTTCTAAATTTTAATTTCTTTATCTATAAAATAGGGACAATAACACCTTGTTGCAGGCCTGTTTTAAAGATCAAAAAAGTGGGGTGGCCGCGGTGGCTCACATCTGTAAATCCCAACACTTTGGGAGGTCGAGATGGGTGGATCGCTTGAGGTTAGGAGTTCAAGACCAGCCTGGCCAACATGGTTGAAATACCTTCTCTACTAAATATTCAAAAATTAGCCAGACATGGCAGATGCCTGTAATACCAGCTACTTGGGAGGCTGAGGCAGGAGAATTGCTTGAACTCAGGAGGCGGAGGTTGCAGTAAGCTGAGATTGTACCACTGCACTCCAGCTAGAGTAACAGAGCAAGACTCGGTCTCAAAAAAAAAAAAAAAAAAAAAAATATTTAAAAAGGCAAAAGGCAATTATCTGTAACACAAATAGGCTTTGTACAGGTAATAGCTAATATCTATAAAAATACATAAAAGAACATATATATGTACTCAACTAGTCATAATGTGTATTCCTCTACCTAGATGAGATCAAAAGAAAAAACTCAATCCCTTCCTTAAAAACAAAACAAAACAAAACAAAAAACCAAAACTTCATTAAAATCTCTTAGAGGCAGTAATGGGGTGTAAAACATAAGCTAGATAAAGCTGCAGTGACTAGTTAGAAGGTTCACAAATCCCAAAGTGATCTGGCATGGAAGTTAAACAGGTATATACATGTATTGAAATTAATTCAGCTGTACATGGAGGATTCGTGCACTTTACATACAAAGGTACGTAAAGCATATTTCAGTTAAATTTTTTTTTTTTAGAAATAGAGTTAAACAACTTCCTTCAAAAAGAAAGCCTAGTCTTATGAAGGAATACCAGTAATATTTAATTTTTATTTAAAAACTACACGTAGTTCAGGTCAAGCTAGATACATACAAATGTAGAAATACCATGCTCATTTCCCTACTAGACTATAAGCTTCTTAAGGAAGAGATATACAGATAGATGTTCAGCACTTGGAATACAGTATGCACTTCTGATAACGTTCATTATAAAAACACTCGATAGACGAGGAACATTAACGGAACTTCCTCAACTTAATAAAGGGCATCTAAAAAAAAATCCTACAGCTAACATCATATATAATAGTGAAAGACTGAATGCTGTCTCTCTAAGATGAAAACAAAGACAAGAATGTCCATTATTCCCATTCCTATTCAGCATTTGTTCAAGCCAGGGCAATTAAGCAAGAAAAGGGGAGAAAAAAAGGTATCTAGATTAGAAAGAAAAAAGTAAAAGCTAGAATTCTGACTACCCGGACTTAATAAGGATAAAATTAAATTATAGTATAAAACACTAATAAAAAAATATATGAACTGACAAAAAGGATAGAGAACAATCATAACAACAAGAAAATCTGTTGGTCCACATTTAATTTTTACAGAGTCTGGAAAATTTTGCTTCCAGATGATTGTTCTTACGACCTTGTACTGATATCTCAAGGTCTTGTACTGACATCTCCTTAAGGTTAGAAAGAGTGATTCTTCTTATACGCTAAAGTGAAAATTCAAGTTAAGAAGATAACTATTTCTCTCAACACTTTTATAGGGTAAAAGGTCTTGAGGTTAATGAAAATACATACTAACCTGTGAAAGGCACTCTGCGTGAATTAAGCTGTTACTCTTTGATTTACGACTGCTCATTTCAACAAATTCAAATCCTTAAAAAAAATGGCATAAATATTATAAACATAGTGACTTGAAGAGATAATACCTAAGAATTTACTGTTCTAGAATTAAATACAAGTTTTTAAAAGTAAAAAATGCTCAAACCCTAAGACCTTCAAAATCTTCGATGGCTTCATTTTGTCCAAGTACAGGATAATTCAACACTCTCATACCATACTTTAGGTACACTTGGTTTTATTGTGCTTTGCAGACAGTGCAGTTTTTTAAGTAAATTGAAGGTTTATAGCAACTCCGTGTCCAACAAGTCGATAGGTACCAGTTTTCAAACACCATGTCCCCATTTTGTGTCTGTCAGCATTTTTCAGCAATGAGGTATTTTAAAATTAAGGTATGTACATTTTTTAGACATAATACTACTGCACACTTAATGGACTAGTATACTGTAAATATACATTTTATATGTACTGAGAAAAGTTTTGGGTGATTTACTTTATTGTGATATTTGCTTCACCGCAATGGTCTGGAACTGAACCTGTAATAATACCTCCAGGCCTGTATGTGGTTCTTAACAGCTACTCCTCCGTTTCCATTAAATCTTCTATTCACCTTCCCTTTCTTCCTTTTTCTTTAACTTATATGCTTCCTTTATGATTCTCCCACCCATCCATCCCACAGGATCATCCCTCATAGAAAACTTTCCTTTCTTGCTCCACTCACCAACCATACACAAATAATCATTACAGACTAGGTTAAATGCCTCTTCTTTAATTACTTATAAGTGCCTGTATTTCTCTTTATTATTTAATTATTTTGAACAAAATTATCTGTTTATTTGCTAGTGTTTCCAAATTGAGATTTTTTATATTCCAAGCATTGTAGCATAATGCTCAAAACAAAGTTGGCAATGAATAAATGGAATGAAAAAAATTAATGAAAAATGTATAATTCTTGTAAAATTCTCCTCAAGTTACCATACTCATAGACAAATACCTCTGACTAAAAGACCTAATTTTCTTAGCACTGATTTCCTATAGGACTACTTTAACAGTCAGACAGTAACAGCTTAAGCAGTGTTTACTTAGGTATCAGGAATTGTTACAAATAATTTGCATTTATCAACTCATTTAATCCTCAAAACTACCCTATGGGATAACTACTATTATAATCCTCTTTCAAGGTTAGAAGACACAGATAGGCTAACTATGTTGACCAAAATCAAACAGTACGTAAATGGAAGAGCCAGGATTTGGATCCAACCAAGTTAACCGCTTTTTTAAAAAAGTGTATTCTGGTCTCATCTAGTCTCCAGCAGGAACACAGCTTTGCTGACACCCTGAATTTTGCCCAGTGAAAGACATTTTGGAACTTTTTTACTGCCAGAACTCATAAAACTCAAGAAAAGCTGATCTATCATCAAATCACCAATGATTAACATTATAATAATGTGAGAATGACAGCAGCAAGATGAAATAGGAGGCCCTTCAGCTTGTGTTCCCAAATAGCAACAATAATTTCACAGCCACCCACGGACAAAAGTGTCTTTGTGTTAGCCTTGAGATGCAGGCAGGCGTCTGTGAAACCCCAGTGGGGCCCAAGACCTGGGAAAGTCAATTTGAGGGCAGATCTTCATTCACGTGACGGATTCCCCAACTGTGGTCCAGGCTTCAGACTTGGAAAGGGCCCTGTCCTCCTGAGGGCTTAGCTAAAGCCTGATAGGACCTTGTTACCAGGGGCTGTAGCAGGATATGAAACCTATCTGGTGGTGGACTGGACTTTTTCTAGGACATTGGTCTGTACAGGGGATGAAGATACGCAGAGAAAAGACCTGTTACCAGGTGTGTGGATGGTGTGGCTTTCTCTGGGAACCTGGGAGGGCTCCTACTGGATCACTGAGTGGATAACCTGAGCAGGCACCACTGCCATAGTCCCCAGCTGCGTGGGGCTGGAACTAAGTCACAGGGTTGCTTCAGGGCCTACAGTCAAGACTTAGGTCTTCAGGCCTGTCTAAGGTGTCATGAACCTGCATGCCTCCCTTCAGGTCCTTAGGTTGGTGGGCCTGCTCTCAAGCTGTACTGAGAGGGGCTGGAGCCACTTTTAAGGGGTGTTTCAGGGACTGATGAGGGACCTGGGTCAGGTGGCCTGTTGGCAGGGCTATGGACAGCCCCATCTCCCTCCAGGATGCTGGGTAGGCAGAACCGCTTTCTGACCATAGCTGAGTGGGGCTTATGCCAAGATTCAGGGTTGTTTCAGGACCTGCTGTGGGACTGAAATCTGCCTGCCTGTCCTGAGGACATGAAAGGATGTATCTCCTGACTACTGGAGAATTTCTGTGCAGGATTTCTGTAAGACTGTGGCTAAGATGTGCTGGATTCCCAATTCAGAGCTTTTTCAGCATATGCTACGGGACAGAGACTGGTAAGTCTGTACTGATAGCACAGACAGGTGAGTCTCCTAGCAGTTCCTTGTGCAGGCAGGGTTGCTCTCAGGCTGCAACCAAGAGTAGCAGGAGCTGAGCTTCAGGGCTGTTTCAGGATATAATGTAGGACCAAGTTCAGAAAGCTTGACCCAGGGATTCAGACCGTTTTGTCTTCTTGTGGGTCCTTGAACTGATCTCAGACCACAGACAAGTTAAAGTGTCTTATCAGGGTCCACAGTTGAGACTGAGGACAGTGGACTTATTTTCTGAGGTACCAGTGTGCATGACCTTTCCTGGGCCTCTTGGTGAATAGTTTCGGTAGCAGGCTAATATCCCTGATGAATATAGGTACAAAAATCCTCAACAAATACTGGCAAATCTAACTCAACAGCACATTAGATCAATTACCATGATCAAGTGGTATTTATCTTTGGGATGCAAAGATGATTCAACATATGTAAATCTATAAAGTGTGCTATAATGTATTAACAGAATGAAGGACAAAAATCATATGACTGACTCAACAGATAAAGAAAAAGCTTCTAACAGAATTCAATATTCCTTCAGGATGAAAACTCTCAATACATTAGGTATAAAAGGAATATACTTCAACACAATAAAGGCCATATATAACAAACTCACAGCTAACATTGCACCCAAAGGTAAAAAGTTGGAAGCTTTTCCTCTAAGATCAAGAACAGGACAAGAATGCCCACCTTGGCTATTTATATTCAATACAGTTCTGCAAATCCTAGCCAAAGGAATTAGATAAGAAAATTAAATAAAAGGCATCCAAGTCAAAAAAGAGAAAGTTAAATGATCTGTTTGCAGATGACATGATTTTATATAGAGAAAACCCTTAAGACTCTACTAAAAAACTCTTAGTACTAATACATACAGTAAAGTGGCAGGATACAAAATCAACATACAAAAATCAATAAGATTTCTCCACACTAATAACTATTTGAAAAAATTAAAAACCAGTCCTAATTACAATAGCATCAAAAACAAATTAGAAAGAAATGTAACAAAAGAGGTGAAAGGTCTGCCATGGAAAACTATACAATATTGATGAAAGAAAGTGAAGACACAAATAAATGGAAAGACACTCCATGCTCACGGATTGAAAGAATCAATGTTATTAAAATGTCCCTACTACTGGAAGTGAAGGTCAAAGTAATCTACATCAAAATTCTAATGACATTTTTCAAAGAAATAGAAAAAAACCTTAAAATTGATATGGACCCACAAAGACATTTAATAGCTAAGACAATCATGAGCAAAAGAACAACGCTGGAGGTATCAGACTACCTGATTTCAATACCTAGTGCAAAATAAAGATAATTCAAAACAACATGGTTCTGGCATAAAAACAAACATACACACCACCAGAATAGAGAGTCGAGAAATAAATCCATACTTTTATAGTCGACTTATGTTCAACAAAAGTGCCAAGAACACACCATGGAGAAAGGACAGTCTCTTCAAGAAATGGTGTTAGGAAAACTGGATATCCACAGGCAGAATAATGAAATTGAACCCTCATCTCACATCATATACAAAAATCAACTAAAAACGGATTAAAGACAAGTGTAAGACCTGAAACACAGGGAAATAAAACACAGGGTAAAAGCTTTTTGACACTGGACTTGGCAAAGATTTTTTTGGATATGACTCCAAAAGCACAAGCAAGAATAATGAAAACAGACATAAAACTAAAAAGCTCCTACAAAGCAATCAATCAACAGAATGAAGAGACAACCTACAGAATAGGTGAAAATATTCGCAAATGTTACATCTGACAACAAGTTAAAATCCAAAATATGTAGTCGGTCCTCATCAGCAGATTCAACCAACTTAAGAGAGAGAAAATTTAGAGGGCGAAAAAATGCAACAATAAAAATTAATACAAATTTAAAAAACAATACATTATAATGACTATTTACAAAGCACTTACATTGTATTAGAAGTTATAAGTAATCTAGAGATGATTTAAAGCATATGGGATGGTATGTGTAGGTTATATGTAAATACCATGTCAATTTATAGAAGAAACTTGAGCATCTACAGATTTTGGTATCTGAGGGGGGTCCTGGAACCAGTTTCCTGTGGATACAGAGGGATGACTGTATAAGGAACTAAGAAAAAATAGCAAGGAAACAACCCAATTTAAAAAATAGTCAAAAAGATTTCTCACAGGACATAAAAATGTCAAATAGGTATTTGAGAAAATTCTCAGTGTTACTAATTTTCAGGGAAGTACAAACAAAACCACAATGAGATAACATTTCACACTTGCTAGGAAGGCTATTTGTTAAAAAAAGACAAAAGATGATGAGTGTTGTTAAGGATTATGAAAAAAAAGGAAACCCTGAAACACTGTTGATAAAAATGTAAATTAGTATAATCATTATGGAAAACAGTATGGAGGTTCTTGAAAAAATTAAAAGTCAAATTATATAATCCAGTAATCCCACTGAATATCCATCCATATATACAAAGGAAATGATCAATACATCAAAGATATATCCTCACTCCCATATATACTGCAGCATTATTCACAGCCAAAATACGGAATCAACCTAAGTGTCCATCAATGGATGAAAAGATAAAGAC